TATATATATTTTTTTTTTCAGTACAAAACACTCCTTTATTTATATCCCCCTTTTCTGTTTTGTTTTGGCAGAGATGGGTGTTCCATTGCTGTTAGACAAGCTGTGTTGGGAGAAGTCTTTAAAGAACCTTACATTTTGTTTCTTTAAAAAACTTTTTAAAGGGGTCCATCAGGCTGGCACGGTATTGCCGGGGCCCAGCAGGGGACTTACCTTGACAGTGTAGATCTGGAAATAGATGGGCTGGGTGCCCATGCGCACATAGTAAGTAATGACATCGAGGATGAAGGGGTCCACGGTCCGGGTAGTGTCCAGACAGAGTGGCTGTGAGGGAGAGCAGAGGTATCTTCAGCTGCCTCCCCCAGGCTACTGTGAAAAGCACCTTTTCTTTATGAATTCCCAAGACCCTACAGAGTCCCTGAAGTACAATCCAAGCTGGTACTGCAACGCACCCCAACCTTCCCTGTCCCCTTGATTCCGCTTCCTAGTCAAAGTGTCCTGCTCCAGAGCCCTGTCTCCCCAGAGAATCTGCTGCATTTCAATTCCACGAAGACATACTGAGCACCTGTATGTCTAAGACATTGGGTGCTGGGTTTGGATTGGCCACTCATTAGCCAGGAAACCTGGGGTAAATTATCCAATGCTTTGAGGCCTGAATGTTCTATAGAAGGGAAAAGACGAGGGGGAATCACAAAATCAGATGTCTTTTTCAGTGTCGGTAGCCTCTGGCCCTGTCAATGAACTAATCAGCATGCTGGGTATGTGGCATCCCAACTAGCTGGGAGGCTGATGCAGGAGGATCTCAAGCTTGACACCAGTCTGGGCAACATGGTGAGTTTTCCTCTTAAAGTAAATAAAGAAAGAAATAATAAGCAAACTAACAGGCATTTCTATGTTGTTGGGAATGGACTTAGTGTGTAACATTTGGGGTTTTCAGGCAAACAGAACAGAACATATATTTAGCTAGGATACAAGTTACTGTCTTCTCTGAAATGCCCTGGACCGAAAGTGTTTCTGGTTCAGTTTTTTTTAAAGAGTTTGAAACACATGCTCATAGATAATGAGGTGTCTTGGTGTTGGGGCCCAAGAGTAAACATGAAATTCATTTCTTTCATGTCCCCCCTGTGCACACAGCCCAAAGGCAATTCTACAGGCTATTGTTAGTGCCCCTGTGTTTTGACTGTGACCCGTTACCTATGGCCAGGTGTGGGATTTTTCACTTGTGGCATCTTGTGAGGCTCAGAAGCTTGGTTATAGAATGTTTTAGGTTTTCAGACTAAGGATACCCAGTCTGTATTATTAGACCTGGACAGAAGCTCTGACTGTATCTCAAAGGCAAATTCAGTGAGGTGGCAAGATTTTTTTAAAACATGAGTAAAAGACAATAAATTTTATGTTATATGGAGTTTTTAAGTCACAGTTTTAAAACACCAAAATAAGTAAGGACATATGTACAAATCATCATCTTCTTTTTTCATCAGCAGAATGTTCTACCCTTTGATCTATACTCCGAGAAGGAGACCATTCACGACACCAAGAAGTATTATTAAACAGGAATAATTTACCAAGAAAGGGCCAAAATCTGCAATGAAATAGTTCAATTATACAAGCGGCCTTTCATAAATGAAGAGATGTTTTGTACTTCCAGAGAGGGAAAGTTAGCATGCTAGTGATGCTAATTCTTGGGGCTGGGGAGATGGCTCAGTAGCATAAGTGCTTCCCTGGCAAGCGCAAAGGTCTCAGTTCAATCCCTGGTTCTGCCAAAAAATAAAAAAAAAAAAAAAAAAAAAAAAAGGTAATTCTTTTCTGAATTTCAGTCAGAATCACAATACGCTAAAAATACTATAAAAACAAAACTGGAAATGCAATTCTCAAGCTTATCAGCAAAGACAAAGAAGCATATTCTGAAAAATTGTTTAAAAAGAGTCAGAGTGTAGGTTTATCCTGCCAGATGTTAAAACATAAAAGTATCAATTTATGCAAAACTTCACAGATTATTGAAAGACAATAAGTGCCTAGAAATCAACTCAAGAACGTGTGAGGATTTGCTAAATGACAACAGTAGCATATCAAGGGGATGAGGCTCATGCAGTAAATAGCATTCGGACTACTGGGTAAGCCTTTGGAAACAGAACTCACAGGAGACACTAAAATTAATTCTAGATGGGTCCATTCTTTAAATATTAAAACAGAGGCACCAAAAAGTGAGTAAATTACCAGTGAATATTTAACCTTGGGATGGTGAAGGCTTTCAAACCTGACTCCATAGAGAACAAAAGTGCTTTGCCTGACTAGCAATAAGCATTAAACTCTTTAAGTAAAAAACTATCAGGTAGGGGCCCGGGAGATGGCTCAGTAGAAAAAGCGCTTCTCTGGCAAGCGCAAGGGCCTGAGTTCAATCCCCAGTTCCGCAAAAAAAAAAAAAACAAAAACAAAAACAAAAACCCACAACAACAACAAACTATCAGGTAAATTGCAAAGTGTGTGTGTGTGTGGAGGGGGGTGAAAAGTCTATCACACCTGTGATGGTAAAAAAGGCATAATTCTGAACACACGAAGGCTTTTCCAAGTCAGTTACTTAGAAGTCATCAAACCTAATCTGGAGAACGGGGTGACGGCAAGAGCAGCGCCTGACAGCGAGGGCGCTCACCTGGCTGCACTGCTGGGAGAATGAAATGAGCTTACTCCTTTTCTGTGGTCACTCAGCGCAGTTGCCAGCACATAGTAAGCGCTCAGGAAACACAGAGAAAGAAGTTTAGAAAGCTCACAAAAGAAGGACACCAATGGGCCTAGACACTGGTGAACGTGCTTTGCTTTGCCTTCTCCAAGCAGGAGCCTGGTAAGGGCTCCCAGCAGATCCAAACCACCTGTCACACGAGGCTCCTCTCCTGCCTTCCTTCCTGCCTGTCTGCCTCATCTTACCCTGGGGCCCTGCTGGAGCTGACTCTTGAGGTCCAGTGCAGCCTCCTGCTGCCCCTAACCCCCTCGGATCCTCCTCTGCCAGATTCCAGCCGCTCTCCCCACCCTCCCTCGCACCCCAGCCGCCCCTACCATCTCGGCCAATTTGTGGATGGCGGAGCACAGGGTGTTGACAGTGCTCTCGTACCAAGGATCCGCGCGGCCCAGGAACGTGGCCAGCTCGCCCAGCTCAGGTGGCCTGGAGGCTGTGGGGTCCTGGGGAAAAAGGAGCGGGGCACACAGGCAGGCCCTGCCTGGTCAGCGCCCCCAGGCACCAGGCCTATGCTTGGTGATCACAGCATCTCATTTCTTGGGGCTTCAGTTTCCGCACCATCTGAAGACTGGAAGAGCTTTTGCCAAGGGCCACCCTCTAGGGACACTGAAATACAATCGCCAGCCAGCCATAGTGGGGAGAGACACTATTGCTTTGATTTCACTGCTCCTAGCAGGAAACAAAGTGTGGGGCAGAGAGTGGAACCTGAGGTGTGCACTCTAGCTCCCCCACTAATGAATTTCCACAGCCTGGAACTTCTTTTTCTATGACCCCAGGTATGGGGGGGTGTGCACGTGAGTGTGGGGGGAGAGAGAGGGAGAGAGGGAGAGAGGGAGAGAGGGAGGGAGTGAGAGATGGAGGGAGGGAGGGAGGGAGAGAGAGAGAGAGAGAGAGAGAGAGAGAGAGAGAGAGAGAGATTGAGCCAGAGCCAGAGCCAGAAAGCACTAGCGACCATATAGAGAAGTTTGCAACTAATTTCATTACAAACACAAAACAAAAGCAAGCCGCGGGAAGGTAGCCCGTCAGGGCGTGTGACTGTTACACACAGACTCCTGAGCACCCCCTGGCGGCTTCTAAATCAGAACACTCTCCAGGTCTCTCCCAGCACCATGTAAGGATGATGCATCTGCTCCCTGAGACAAGGAATGCCAGGCTGCAGATGTGTCCCTGCCTTGCATGCCCCTTCTCGGCCAGGCCCCAGCTCCTGCACCCCCTTCCCCACGGTCCCCCTACCTCTCCCCTGTCCAGTCACCTGTGGTGCCAGCACCGGGATGTAATAGAGCTGCAGGCTGAGTCTGGGGGTGAGGCAGAACTTCTGGGTCTCCCGTTTCCTGGCAAAGACAGCGAAACACACTGGGTAAGAGCAGTTGTTTGGTATCAAGCAGGCCTTTGATGTTTGACAATTCACCTCATCTCCCAAAATGTCTGTTAGCTCGTCTATGGGATGGGCACACTGTGACCCTGTTGGAGTGGTCATGAGGTTGCACTGGGCACAGCACTCGGTGCCAGCCACTAACCTGGCAGACGTGCCACGCAGTGCTCTTCTCTAGGCCCACCCTGGCCTGTCCCCTGACCCTTTGTGGCTCCTTTCTGATCCTTCACCACCTCACACCAAACCCCAGGACTAACCCAGCTCCCCCCCGGCCTGCTCAGGTCCTTACCTGAGTTTGTGGTAGGCCTGGGCCAGACGCCCTAGCATCCTGTCATCACCCAGCACCAGCACCCGGGCCGTGTGCACCCGGGACACCCCGGGAAGCAGCTCTCCATCCCCGCTAGGCCTGCCTGTTCTGCGGTGTAGCCCCGGGGGCCCATCCCAGCTGCCAGGCATGGAGAAATCTGGGGGCCATACACGCTTCTTGATGCCCCCTTTGCGTTGCAGCCCAGCTCGCTCCATCTCAGGGCTGCTGGGGATGAGGAGTTCATCAGCCCCCAAAGGCAGGTCCCGCTCGATCCCGCTGTCTGTGGACAGCATGGACACCCGGGCCAAGTCCCGGTCTGGCCCCAGGCCTTGCAGATCCAAGGCCTCCAAGTCAGCACTGAGGCGCAGCTGGGATTGTGGGTGCAGGAAGAGCACCAGCTCCTTCCCTGGGACAGGAGAAGAGGGCACCATCAGCATGGCAGGGCCTCTCCATGGCCATCAGACCCCTTTCCCCCAGATGGGAGCCTGCACATGCCTACCACCTCTTGCCAGCAAATACATTAGTGGCCACAGAATCCAGCACAAAAGAAATCAACTTAACCTAGCCCCTCAGCCTGCAGCTGACCCTGAGCCCTCCCAACCTCTCATGCTCTCACCTTCCTCCAGAGCACAGACACCAAGTGGAAGATGCTGGGCTTTGCTAATCACGTGTGCTTTATCACAGGTGAGAAAAGTGAGTCCCAGAGGGAGAGCCACGTCCACCTCGTGTGACCCAGTGGACAACAGGAAAGGCCAGCACTTGAGCCCAGTTCCCTGATCCAGCATTCCCACCATGACCTCTGTGCTCACCCTCCTTCTTCCTGGAGGAGAGCCACAGGAGAAGAAGGGTGGGGACAAGGGCCGGACCCCAAAGTGGAGGGGATGCGTCAGGCTACTGGGTGTCTCTGGGTCTCCCCAGCTCTGGGAACCCTGATGCTTTGAGCTTTGTGCTTGCCTCCCTCTTGGCATCATGGTGCCCTTATGGCAGGATCTGGCCACACAAGACCACTGGAAATACACTGAGCCATCCCAACAGAAAGAACGTGGAGTTCACACATGCAACGACATGGGAAAAAGCAGGTGACACTGACAGCCCCACAGACACATGAACACACAAACACACACACACACACACACACACACACACACACACACACACTGCAGTTTGCATCCTGCTGCCCTGGGAGGTCAGAGGTAAGGGCACATACAGAGCTGCTCCTGGTCAGTCCACAGGTGGAAGGTGATGTAGGGGCTGGGCAGGGGGATGCTTGGTGGCCGGTCCTGGAGAGTGTCACCTGCAGAAGGGAGCAGGCTGTGGGGACCACGAGAGGAGTGCTGTGTGCTGTTCCTCTGAGCCCTCCTTTTCCCCATGCAGTCCTGTGTAGGTGCCCAGAGGGTGGCAGGGACCTTCTCTGGCCTTATAGAGTCTGTCTTTCCTCTCTGTCACCATTGGCTCATCCAGGCCCCAATCTGCCCAAGGAGGCACCTCGTTGCCACCCGCTGTCAACCCTGCCCTGTCGCCAGTGCTGTAGCCCACCGGCTGGTTTTCCAGGTGTTCTTTAAGCATTCTACCCAGATCGAGACAGAAACAGAAAAGACCTGCTTTTCTCAGGCCACTTCCGGTTATTGTATGCTTCTATTCCACACTGCAGAGCCCTCATCGCATTGGCGACAACATGCAGAGGGCAGCAGGAAGCCTGGGCGACCAGGGTGACAGTAGAGCCAACCTCTCCCATTGTCCTGACTGAGCATTTTTGGATTTCCCCGTCCACAGGGAGCTTCACCTCAGCACAGTATAGCTTCAGCTACAAATGTGCAAACAGGCAAATGCGGAACACAAGCCCGAGACGCCGCATATAGATGATGAGTCATTTACTACTAGACCCTCTCTAGCGGATCTTCTGGTCACCGCAGCCCCGGGCTATGGTAGCGGAGTGATGAAGAGCTTCTGCCCGGATTGGAAGCTTGGTTCTGCTCATCACTAGCTGAGTGATTTTAGGCAAGATTTTAAACTTCTTTCTCACTCAGTTTCTTCTTCCGTAAAAGACGGGTGGTAATAGTTTTAATCTTGTAAATTTACTGTGAAGATCATCTGATTTATGAAAAGTGCTCAGAAGAGTTATTGGGGTGGAGCACGTGCTCCACAGGTGACAGGCCACATTAGTCACCTCCTTAGCCCCTCCTGCAGACTCGCAGGCTCTAGGTAGACACAACGCTGCTCTCTGGCGCCCCCTGCGGTCCGCTGTCCCAGCCGGGCTCTTCTTGCGGGGCTCCCCACCCCCGCCCCGCCACCCGACACTTACTGCCGCAGCGCCCCTTAGCTGCCACCGCCGGTCCCAGCAGCGAGTAGTAAATCTCCTCCAGCCTCTCAAGGTGCTCAGCGCGGCTCGGATTGGCCTCGTCTGCCATCTGCTCCACTGCAGTCACCACGGCATGGAAGTAGTACTCCAGGACGCGGCGGGAGCTGGCCTGCGGGAAGGAGGGAACAGCCTGAGTCCGGACCCAGCACACGCCCACCCCACCTCTTACGCCACACCCCGTCTCTTCTCAGCAGACCCAGGGCTTCAGCACCCGGCGTCCTGGACCTGCTCCTGTCCTGCCACAGCTACTGTCCCATGCAGCCTGCATCCGGGGTCCCTGTGCCTCTCACCCTCTCACCCTGTATTAGGAGGAGGTGGCCTGGAAGGGTTTAAAAAGGGACCTAGCAGTAAAAGGAAGAATAGGCCAACGAAATGGTCCAAGATGTAGGAAAAAATTTCAGATGGAACACAGCAAGAAGGGCAATCACCCGCTGTGTTTTAATGAGCAAAGCAGGGCTCGAGTTAGGGGCTCCACCAGGGCCAGACTAGCAGAACCCTCCGAACTGCACCTTCCTTCCTCTCTGAGCGCCCGACCCTTGCTGTAGTGGCAGCCTCGTTGCTGAGTCTAGCGGCTCCAGATCGGGGCCATCATTCAACCCAGCGGTTCTTATAATGCGCTGTTAAGTAACTTGAAGTGTTTATTATGTACGGAGGAGGGCAAGGTGATGAGAGACAGAAGCAGGAAGAGGACAGTGAGTGGCTGGAGGGCGTGAGCTACCTGCAGCTTCCTGTGCAGGGCACTGGGGTGGCAGGCCTCCCCCAGAGCTGCCTGAAGGGCGTGGGAGACCACGTGGCGCATGCAGGCCTCGGGCGTCTGCTGCTCCTGGGCTGCCTCGATCTCCAGTAGCAGGGCACTGCACACTGAGGGAGACACCAGCTCAGGATCCACGAAGAGGAACACTCTGTGGGCGGGAGAAGGGGTGGTGGCGATAGGGAGTCCTGGGTGGGTGGGTGGGGCTACAGCAGATTAGAGCATGCGCAGCCCTTCTAGGGGGCGGAACTAGTCCCTTTGGCTACCTCCCACTATCTCCGCACAGGAAAGCTGGCCTGGTCCCGCGTCCAGGGGCCTTCCAACCTACATCCTTTTCCCTCCCATCCTTCTCCCTCCAGCATCCTTGTCCAGCGGCCCTGTCACCTGGACAGACCTTAATCTATCCTGCCACGAACGGAGCTCTGAACGCTGAGTGCAATCCCGCTTCTCTCAGTATCCCCATCACACCAGAAAACCAACCTCACCCATCCTGTCCTTCTCTCAGGTGTCACCCCACTTCTCCAGCACTAGTTCCTCTGGGTCCCCTTTAAGCCTCCCCGCACCCTCCTAAATGCAGCTCCCCGAGCCTCAACTCGAGCTGTGTCTCACAAGACCAAATCAGAGGTGACACCTGGGAAAGGAGGACAGTTCCATCACCGGTCTCTCCAACACGAACAACGAACCTCCCTCTCTTGCCCCTACTTCTATTTTATTGGGCCGGCTGGCATACACAGATGAAAGTCCTGAGACTTCATCATGTGACTTTGGCCACAGACCCCTGCGCTGTGGATATTCTGAGTCATCTCCGGCCACCTGTCTGGTTTGATGCTGTACTGTGGCCAAGGGTGGGATGGAGGTACAAGAATAGAACTGCAGAGCTGGGTGCACTGATGCACACCCATAATCCCAGTGTTAAGGAGCCTCACTGTGAGCCCAAGGGCAGCGTGGACCACTACAGGGTGAAACCCTGTCTCAAAAAAACCAAAAAAAGATCTGCAGAGCTGTACCAGGGCCATGCTCTGAGAGCAGTCTGTCCTTCAGAAGTCTCTGGAAAAAGATGTGGCCTGAGCCCCCTAGAACTGTGCGAGAGAATCTCTACTGCTGGTAATGTGTCGTGGCTGCAAAGCTCTGCTCTGGCTCTTCTCAGTTCAGCCTCCTCTTTTGTCCTCCTACCAGTGAGCAAACAGTCTCCAACCCCTCTTGGAGGCGAAGGCAACAAGTGTTCCATGGCTACTCACCTCTCCTGGTAGGGATACACATCACTCATCAAGTTTTGCTCTGCAAGGACCATCCTCTGGTACAGCGTTCCTGCAAACCAGTCCACGTCAGCCAATAAGTCTTGGTCTCCAACTCCCTTCCTCCACCTTCCCATGGAAGGTGCTGAGACCCTGGAGCTCACTGGCATTCTGGAGAAGAGGGCCAGACCTTGGGTGGTGCTGGGAGCTCAGGATGCCCACCCAGGAGCTCTCACCTGGGACCGCTATCTCCGTTTTCAGCCTTATGGCGCAGTCCAAAGCCACAGTGCAGTAGGGGGTGGGCAGGGTCAATAACCTGGTGCAGAAGGCGTAGGTTTTATGGTAGAGCTCTTCCGTGATGCCTGTGGCCTGGGTGAGATGGAGAAGTCAGGGCACACCGAGCCCTAGTTAGGAAGGGTCCTGGGTGGGATGGAGGTGGGAAGAGAAGAGGAAGCCTGGGCCGGCAGATGCACTTGGCTCACGTTTCGCTCTCACACTGGCACCTTCCAGCCCCTTCTCCTGCACCAGGAGCCCTCCCTTGGACACCCCACTCCAGCTCAGCAAAATAGGAATTTGTCACACGGAATTCTGCCACCCAGTCAACTGCCCTTTCAATACTCTGGCTCTGTCTGCAGTGTGTCCCTGCAGTTCTCCAGGATTGGAATGTGGGGGTGCTCTTTAGTGTTATCGCTCCTTACTGACAGAGAAAGCCCCACAACAGCCTGGAGGTGCCCCCACTTCCTTTCCCTTCTTCATCATCGTGCCTGTGGTCTCTGCTGGAGCCAAGACCTGTCCTCACTGCAGGGGCTGCACAGCCCCTGCTGGTCTTGCTGCTCCTCACCTTCTTCACTGCTCACTCCCCTTTACCGTGGCTCCCCATTACTCCCCCTAGACATTAACAGATGCTCTTCATCCTGTCTCCTCCTCCCCCTGTGGGCCCAGTGGTGTTCACATATGAACAGGCCCACGGCCTCATCAGGCTTTCGGGCTCTCCCCACGTGCTTCCCACTGCCTTTCCAGTTTTATCTCTGAGTAGGATGAGGTGAGCTGGTGTTTGCACATCGTTGTGCAACAGGCAGTCCCAGACTTTCTTTAGGCTGTCCTAGCGGAGATGAAGTGTCTACTAAGAGAACAGCGGTCACCACAAGCATCCTGACCCCTGGCCCCAGCTTACCTTAGTGAGCACGTACATCAGGGTGTGCAGCAGGGGAATGATGACGTGCCGGAGGTCCTCGTTCTCTGCCTGGAAGATAGGGTGATCCGGGACACTGATGCGGGTTGGGTCAGGGCTAGGGTGAGGGCGGCACCAGGGCCTCCTAGCTGGAGGTGGTTAGGGTTGGAGCTGGGCCAAGAGGGGGCCGCAGGCAGCTTTCTGCTCGGCCAGGGCTCCAGTCTGCCCTGGACAGAGCATGAGTGTGAAGAGTAGGAGTGTGTGGGGTTCCTTCTGAGTGTGTGGGGGTTGTAGGAAACTGTGGGGGGTGACTTTGACTCAGGGAAGGGGTTGAAAGAAAAGTGACAACCAAGTCCCCAGCTTGGAGCTTTCCTTAAATGCAGTGTTTCCCAGTCACAGGAGGTGAAGTGGTCTGTCTGGAGGATAACTTTTGGTGCTACAAGTATAATTATGAAAAATTAGAATGGTTGTATGTACGTTTAGAGGCCCTTTCTGTTTCTGATGAGTGATATGGTTTTCTATTCATGGCTATGATATGGCCTGCCTGCCTGCCTGCTTGCTTTCTTCTTTCTTTCTTTCTTCTTTCTTTCTTTCTTCTTTCTTTCTTTCTTTCTTTCTTTCTTTCTTTCTTTCTTTCTTTCTTTCTTCTTTCTTTCTTGTCTTTTTGAGACAAGGTCTCACTCTGCAGTTCAGGCTGACCTTGAACTCACTTTGTAACCCAGGTTGGCCTCATTTCTTTCTGAAATATGTTAACTCAAAGTGCTAGAAGTTGATGCACAGAAACCATTACTTAGGTGAAGGTCTAGCTAGGAGGGAGACGTGTATGGCAGAAATCAAGCAGATGACCACATATGACACAGCCACCAGGATGGAGCCCCAACCCAGTGAGCCCCCCTAGCCTCTCATCACCACCTCTCACTACCCCTTAAGCCAGAGCACCCACCTTCTCCAGCTCTCTGAGCAGAATTCGGACTAGTGCTGGGTTCTTCCCAGGGTCTCGCTCTACCTTCTTGTGCAGGGACCATCTCCACATGCCTGGCCAGGAGAAAGCACAGCCCAGAAGGACCAGGCATGGGGGAAGGGCTCTTAGAGGAAAGCCTCTGGGTGAGACCCCAAGGCTGGGCCCAAGACCACGACTGTGCAGCCATGTCCAACCCCACGGTCACCTGGGGCTCCAGTGGGCTCTTTCCCAGTAAGATTATTCTGATCCTCAGCCCTGTTGACAGTGTGTTCCCAAGGCAGAAGGAAGGGAAGGGAGACACTGTGGGGACAGGTGTGTGTATGAGGAGCGCAGAGCAGCAGTGCTTGCAGATGTTAGCCAGCTGCCCTGGGGTGGTTCTGCAGGCCAGACAGGACTGTTGTTTGGAAGTGGAGTTGGAGAAGGTGGTTAAGAAAGAGGGTGCCAAGTCCCCTGTGTCTCTGCCATGGCTGCTCGGAAGGTTCAACCACGGAGCTGAGAGGACTTCCTGGCTCGCAGGCTTAGGGGTTTCTTCCAGGAAGGGGCTGGCCTGGAAGGTTCTCTCTCACCCATGAACTGAGGCTTGTCTTTGCCTTAATGAGAGGACAGGGCTGGAAGGGTGGGACAAGGGCCTTGGGAAGCAATTGTCACCCGCCCGCCAACGCTTACCCTGGTTGCTCTGCAGGGCTGGGGCCTGAGCACTGAGCTCCCGGAGCACAGCGTGCACACTCCTCTGAAGGTCCAGTTCTGCATCTGGAGAGAGAACAAGGGGGACTGGATGCTCAGCTTGCCTGCCCCACCCCCACCCACCTCCACTCCCCTGACAATGGTTTTAGTGCTTCTATGAACCTCAAAGTATGTCCCAAGGTAGTGAACCTAGAACTGGCGGCTGGCATGCTAGTCAGAACTGAAGACTATTTTCACCAGAGCATTTTCCTGTGTTCTTTGTAAAAACAGCATTTCCTAAAGTGGGGATGTATGGAAGTACCTTCCCCTTCCAAGGTCCCATGATAAGAAGTAGAAAATTCCAGGAGTAAATAATTCATAGGTTTTAAATTGCTTGTCATCCTAAGTAGCAGAATGAAACCCCACACTGTCCTGCTCTATCCTGCCAGGAATATGAATCATCCCTTTGTCCAGCGTATCCATACTGTATACATTACCCACCCATCATTAGTCACTTAGTAACTGCCTACATTGTCAGGTCAACTATCACAGCATAGCAGCGCTTGTGTTTAAGCAATCCTTAGTTTATATAATGATGGCCCCAAAGCACTGGAGTTACCAGGGCATGAAGATACAGACAGGCTAAATCTGGTTTCTGTGTGGCAAAGCTATAGGGCATATAGGAAAAGCTATAGGACATATACAAACAAACGTGGAATGTCTTGAGGGTTCAGTACTCTCTGTGGCTTTAGGGATCCATATACTCCCCATGGGTAAAGGGAGACTGCTGTGTATAAAGAGATACATGAGACAGCTTTAGGTGGCATACAAACTATCCTGAAATTTGAATAGTTATGCATTTTACAAACTGTGAGCTAAATAAACCTTTCCTCCCTTAACTTCTGGGCGTTGGGTATTTTGTCTCAGCAACAGGAAAAGTAACTAAGGCAACCAGTTCCTCAGTCTAAACACGATACTAGAATTCAGCCTATTGAAAGAAACATAGCCTGCCCTGCTTCCAGCAAGCACTTTGTGGGGTCAGGTTGGCAAGAACTACTCCTCTTGCTGTTACATCTGAGGAGGTCCTCAGGCTCTGCCACCTCACTCTGCTCAGGGCTGTGTGTCCTCAGCTGTCCTTTTCTCTCATTCCTGGAGTTCAGCTGACTTTCTGCCCCCTTCCAGGCTACCCTTGAATAAAGTTTTTCTTGCCATTCTTTTTTAAAATTTTTTTTCGGTACCAGGGATTGAACCCAGGATCCTGTGCTTGCCAGGCAAGCATTTATTCTACTGAGCCATCTCCCTGGCCCATTTCCTGCCATTTTGACAGAGGATAGGATGGTCTTTCCCTTGACAGTGTATGATGATGTAGTGGAACTCAAAGGCAGCACAAGAATATGCAACTGATGTTTAGAAAATGAACCACCTCACGGATTCTCACTCCCGGGAGTTTAGGTGACCCTGTACCCTGCCGTTGCTCTGTGACCTCTGTCTGCGTAGAGCCAAGCTTATCAGCAGCACAGCGCAGAGGACTCCAAGGTGCCTCCAAGAGACATCATTCTGATGGTCAAAGTAGGTCAGAGGTCCCCTAACCACAATGCTGGCCCTGTCTGGTCTTCCCACCAGGGGAAGACTTTTCCCTCCAGCACCACTTCCCTTTCTCCTGTACTGGGGTGCAGCCTGCCTCCCTGACAGGAAGCTCGCCCTCGCATCACTCTCCTCTCTTTCTGCCCTGCCTGTATTTCCTTGAGTATGTCCTTGCACATCGAATCTTGCGTTGATGTCTGCTTCTCGGAGAATGGAGAGCAAGACAGGAAACCCGGGGAACGCGCCCCGCACAGTACATTCCTTTTTGCAATGAACTCCAACCAAGAGTTTGTCTCTACAGGCGAGTGTGCAGTCTCCAGTCACCAGACGAATCACACGCCTCTGGGCTTCCCTTTCTGACTTGGCGGTCAGGAAACTTACAGCCAGACTGAACCCCAACCTCAAAAATCAGCTTATCTCAAAGCATAGGAAACTCTTCTTGGCTCCTCTTTGGGGCTCCAGCTTTGTGCTCAGTTTGCTGTAGAATTTAAACACCTCAGATTCTTTTGGAAGGAAATAGAATAAAAACTACAAATTTCAAAATCAGCAGGTTACAAGCCAAGAGCTAAACTTTTGTTTCGGCCGAGTGTCCCTATGGGCTCACCAAGCGGTCCTTTCACAACTCTAGGATGAGTTGGTGCAAAGCCTCATGGGCCTTCCTAGTGTTTCTAAACCCTGTTTTCCTCCTAGCTTTCATTCGCTCCCTTTGAGACATTTGTCACTGCCAGGGTGTGGTCCTGAGTCTCCTCTAGGCTAAGACCGGGCAGGGTGTTGCAGCCACATATGCCCAGCTGCCCATTCTGCTGGGTAAGGCAGCATCTCCTCAAGCTGGTAAACACATCATTTCGCTTGGCATGGAGGCTGTCACTATCTGTCTTTCCATCTACCCATTTCAACCTTACATAAAGATTTAAAAAGTTAATTTAGGCTGAATTATTTAGAAATTAATTGGTATTATGTCTTCCTTCCTTCCATCTCTTCTTTCGTACCTCCCTCCTTCTCTCCCTCCCTCCAATTTTTCTCCTCCTTTTCCTTCTCTCACTGTGGACTATACTGGAAGACCTAAAACTGCAATAACTGGTTTCCTCTCTTCCTCTTGAGTAGAAGGGCAGCTGAGCCTTTGCTTTCTGAGTCCCTTGTTCCCCTGCTTTGCAAGGGGAATTATGTTTTTACATTTCAGAGAAAAATGGAGAAGTTGCCAGTAGCCCTAGGAGACAATGCAAATAAAGTTTGTTTTTGAAAATCTGGGCAGCTGGAACAAACTCTCTATCTTTGTTTCACATCTGGCTTGGGGACATGTTTTGTTTGGGCTGAGTAGGATCTTTAAAAAAAAGAATCAACTGCCAATACTTATGAATCAGGAGATTTGGCACTAAAGTTTGGATGTCTGGCATTTCTTGCAGGTCTGAGAATCAATTAACACTGGGCTTGCATGGGACTGTCTGACCTGGGATCGTCAGCAGGGCCTGGCGAGCAGCTGTCCCCCTGAGGTGGGCACAGTTTCTCTAATTCTTCGTGGTGCTTGTTCTCTTGAGTTCACTCATGCACTCTCTCTAGCTGGCTCCTGCAGGCATGTGAGTTCAAGATCCCCAGTGGGCTGGTTAGATCAATATGCTGGATTCTCCAAAGAGGGTGAGAATGAGGCTGATGCTTTTAAGTTAAAGGGTGGCAGGTTAGGTTCTTTTTTATTTTTTATTTATTTATTTTTTAAATATTTTTTTTAACATTTATTTATTTATTGTGTGTGTGTGTGTGTGTGTGTGTGTGTGTGTGTGTGGCCAGCTCAGCCCACCAGGGGGCGGGGCTGGCTGGCATGTGGTGCTGGGGGATCGAACTGCGGTCCCTGTGCTTTCCCAAGCTTGTTCCAAGTAGGTGCTTTAGACCACTGAGCCATCTCACCAGCCCCAGGTTAGGTTCTTTGAGACTGTGAGGGCACAGGGTTGCAGGTTCCCGGTTCCAGGGGATGGCGAGGACCAGGGCCAGCTGGCATGTAGCTTATGGGTGATGGCAGAGGTTGGATGAGAGTAACTAATTACTCAATCTGTGTCTCTGGTGTCATGGCAAATTCTACCAGGCCACTTTCATCAAGGTACAACAGTGTCTACCAGGAAAGCTCCCATCTGCCTCCAGAGCCTGCGTACCTGGCCAGCCAGTGGAGGCTGCGGCCAAGTGGGCAGAAGACTCCACAAGCCCAGGGCCCCTCACAGCTGCCATGTAGTAGGAGGTACCCAAGTGGATGGCGCTGGAATTCACAGTGATCTTGGAAAACGAAGCTTAAAGTAGATTTGATTTGATTAAGCAAAAGAAAAACAATGGGGCATTTCTTGAGCCTCAAGTACTTTATCTCAATGTAGTTCATATATACCATTGACTTAGAAGGGTCCAAACCAAATGATGCCATTATTATCATTTTCCCCTTTATCCAGTAATACAAGGTAGTACTTTATGTATTACGAGTAACATTTGAATAGCACGCGACAGAGATTGTCTTATAGATGTCACAAGAAAATGCTGTATGTCCATCAAATCAACTTCACTATATCATGGGGAGACAGGAAGACTACATTTCCCAGACTCTTCTGGACTTACAGAGGAGCCATGTGACGAGTTCTGGCCAATGAAATGTGGTAGACGTTCACAGACCTGGCCACAAAATTCTCTGCACTGCTCTCAGTAACTGCTCCCATTCCACAGTGACTTTGGAGGACACATGTTGCATATGAGGGTGTCACAGGAAGGAGAAAAAAAACTTTAGATCCTGAATGACTACTTAAAACCCAGATTAGTCTTGATATGGGTACAAATGAGTATTTGTTGTGCTATGCCACTGGTATTTGGGGTCTTTTGTTACAGCAGCTGGCATTCTCTAGCTGACTCATGACCCTCCCTCCAGTGTATAGTCCATATGCTTCTGAAAATAGTCCTGTGAGATCGGTGGGACAAACACTGCTCTCCCCATTTTATGGATTCCAGGTCTAGAGCCCTTATCCGCACCCTGTTTTGGCTGGCCAATTGTTGAAAATCATCCCTAGAGGGAGCCAGGAGCTTCTATTCCCATTTCAGAGATGGGGAACTGAGGCTCAGAGAGGATGTGTGCTCTATTCAAGGCCCCAGACCTGCTGGAAGCAGAGCTTCTAGGTCAAGCACTCTTCTGTGAAAGCTGCCCTTTTACTTGGGACAATTTGCCTGCTTACTGGGAAAAGACCGAAGAGGACATGCCCAGGTGAAACTGCGCAGCTGGAGCATGAGTTGGAGAAGTGGGCTGCCTGATGAAGGGTCTGAAGCACAGGTTCCAGCTCTCAGAATGTATTGTTACAGCTAGAGACAACGGGGGGGGGAGAGAGAGAGAGAGAGAGAGAGAGAACTATCCCAACCACATAGGACGCTGATAATTACGGGTCTGTGCCTCGATTCCAGACCTTTCAAATCAGTCTCAGGACTTGGCATCACAGTCTGTGTCCCTTGAGGAGTGATCTGGGACTTGCTGTGTGACTATTAGCTGATACACATTTGGGGGAGCATCATCTGTCCTTGTGCCGGGGTGACACAGAGTCTAGACTCTGAAATCAGTCTCCTGGGGTCGCAGCTACCTACTAGTTGTGTGCAAATTATGTAGCCGGTCTGAGACTTAGTTTTCCTTCCATGAAAATAAGATAGAAGGAAGATTTGTACTAATAGTGTGTGGACAGGATATCATGTCTGCATCTTGTACTATGAATAACCACTATGAAGACAACAACACACAATGTATTAATTAATGAAACTACTAATAGGTTTTGAAACTGTCTCATTGGTATTTGTTTCTTAATAAAATTAATCAATGGAATACCCTTCTCTGACACAATTAAACAAAAAAAGGGGATACAAATGAA